TATTGTTTTCTGCTTTTTGAAGAAACATCATCCGTGATCAACATTTACTCTTACCTTTTCATAATGTTATTTGTACTTATGTTTATCCATACATATTGCCGCAAACATAGCCACACCAACTCATCACTAGCAACCAAATTTTTTTGGTGGATTGTATTAAATTCCTTTCAGCCAAAAATGTCCGCCAAATTTATAGTACAACTTAGCATTTCAGAATTGAAATCTTGAGCCCTATATTGGGTCATTATGTAAATTAACGATAATAGATCAAACATTACTAATCACTGGAAACATTATAGACGGTTAGTGTTATTAGTATGATACCCGAAGATATATAATAGATTCAATTCAATTTATGCAACCACATTCTTGCAAATGCAATGCTGGTTATTAAAGACCATTCGTTGTTTTAGACCAAAAAAAACAGATCACTCCTTGTATATTACCAATAGGAAAAGCTTTTTATAGCACCAGCTTATTATTTTTATGATTAATCACTGAATATATATATATATATATATATATATATATATATATATATATATATGAATATATATATATATAGACAGACAGACGAAGGAAGACATTGAACGTATGCATTAAATGTATTATGTTCCTATCAATATCCTATCAGCTAGCAAAACTACTCTGCATATTGATAACCTTTTTGTCATCATATATTTATATAATTATAAATTCAAAGGGCTATCCAGTTAGTATTATCCTCTAAGTTCACCAGAAAATGACAAACCCTAATAATTATACACCCCGAGGATTCGCAAGACCAGAAGAATTCCAGCACTGCAAGTAACGATGCGGATTGATACATCTGCGCCAGAAAAATGTCAAAATGACAACACAAAACCTATTCTGCGCTATACCTCTCTATTATGCCCTATTCTTTTTTGTTGTTTTTAACTAATCGTGATAATATTATAATTCAAGCGTGGCTGAGACATCTTGAAAAGAAACTCATGTCGTTGTCCAATAAATTATAATCATTCATATGAGCTATTACCAAACTCTACTTCTCCAAACCACCAAAAAGAAAAAAAACACTCAAAAAACCAATCTATCTTGTGGCAATATGCATTCTATGTTGAGTGTACTGGATCTTAGCCATAAGCCAATACTTTTTTAAAAATATTTTTAAATTGACAATATAATATAAACAAACACATAAAATAACCATAGTTTAACAGATTTTATCTTTACAAATTTCCAATTAAGCCATTGAATAATATCTTAATCCCACTATAACTTCTTTAAAATGTTTCAAAATGAGTAAAATGGAAGTTCCTAACCACAAAAAATTTGAAAATTTTAAGTAATCATAGTTAAGTATATTCCTTTATAACTAATTGAATAAAACTTGATTTTTATTGTAACAATTTTAAATTATATGCAATTATTGTTGTGACAGTATTCCGCAATCAACGCTGAAGCAATTAATGGTCGTAAAGTAGAGTATCAGCTTGGCAGTTGTAAGTCGGCCTCTTGTGAGCGAGATCATCTTCGGTACATCTGTAGTAGGTATATTTGTCATTTAGTAAGTGACACTTGGATAAAAAAAATATTTGTTTCTTCTTTCCATATAAGATTACAGTCATTCTTCATTTTTTATTGGATAGATATATTAAATGAATGGTACAACAATAGTACCATAGATATTTCCCTTCTGAGCAGGTTGCTCAAATTACAAAAAAAAATAGAAATAATGCAATGCAAAAATAAAGCGTGGAGAGATTAAAACACATCAATTTTAAAGTGAAAAATCTCCTTAATGAATAGGAGTAAAGATCAAGCAAAAATTCGGGTTGGCTCGTAACTCGGCTAAAATGAGCCGGGTTGGGTTAGGAAAAATGAGTTAATAACTCGGGTCAGCCCGACTCGTTTCAGCTTGAAAAAACCGAGCCAACTCATGGGTCAAACTGATTGGCTCGCGGGTTATGGTTTTTTTTTAATATAAAAGTATAAAAATTAATGAAGGTAAAGTGAAAAGTTAAAACCTAAAATACCAATTCTAAAGGCCCAAACAAAAATACCTTGCAGCTGCCAATAAGTCCAAAATTGTGCATTAAGGACCTTCTTTATAGTATGTGTGACAGTGTGAATGTGGTGCCAACTGTCAATAAATCTAAGTCCAAATGCAAAATTTTCTATGGTTTATCTGTTTAATGTCTTTGTATTGAATGAATTAATAATTTAGGAAAAAAATTTAGAAGTTATAGCATCAATGGAATTTTATTTTATTTTTCTATTTTTTCGAGTCAACCTTAACCCGACTCGGATCGAGTTGGATTGAGTTTTCTGTCTCATTTATTTTTCGAGTCAATCTAACCCGACTCGTTTTGCCAACCCTAGATCAAGCGACATAAGACAGTAAAATCTTCCACTATGATAATAATAATAATAATAATATAATAATAATAATAAGGTTACAATAGTTCAAGCTTCCCTAGTAATATTAGGCGTACATTCTCAAACTTCATCAATAATGATGATAAACACAGTTTTTCTTTGGAAATGTCACTCACTCAAAGTTTTCTGTGAAGGAATACTCTCTCAATCTAATCTCAAGTGCCTAAATTAATAGTCTAACCTATTACAAAGAATTTCCATTTCACTATATAGAGATGAGGTGAGACTCTTCACCTCTTTTTAGAATCTTTTTCAATAATGAAGTAGATGACATTTATTGAGGTGGTTTATTCAGACGTTAAATAATGCCCTAATAAATGTTGTGCATATTTGATAAGTCTCTTAAATGAGACTTGAAACGTATGGTTTAATGTGAAAATGGAGAGAAAAGAATAATTTTTGTGTGATAAAAAAACCCCAAATTTATGTTGAGTTGAAATATAATAGGTTTTGGATACTAATGGGCTCATTTTTTTATTTTCAGGCCCATATGTTACTTTCCAAATCAAAGAAACCCAAGTCAAAGAAGAGAAGAAATAAAAGAAAAAAAAAAAGAAATGGGCTGATGATTGTTCATTGACTCGCCAGAAGCCCATTTGTAAGGGAAAGACACAAAACCTAAGGAAAGACCAACGTTCAGATCTCACGAACCCTAATCCTCTCTTTCTCAAACCACGACTCAGACCCTAACCACAGCCTCACACCAAATCCTTAACCTTTCATTTCACTCCAACCACTTAGCCATCCAAATCGATCATCCCGTCTCATTTTCTGTCATCCATTGAACCACACAAGCCTGCTTTGTAAGGCTATTGTTCTAGAAGCCATACACAAACAGATTAGTGACGAGGATACTGTTATGAGTGCGGAGAAAAATTTCATCTGCAAAAATTTGTTGCGATTGTGGAACGGTTGGGGACCACTGGTGTGTAACGCGCAAGGAGCGCGTGTATACCTGCTGAGCTGGAGAGGAAAATAGTGAAAAGAAGGAAAAGAACCCTATAAAAAGGGAAAGAGGAGTGAGTCAAAGGGTAGCCCCTTCTTCCCACTCCTGATTTCTGATTTATCGTTTTTGTTAGTTCTTGCTTTCTGCATATTTTCTATTTTCTTTTAATTTCTATTTTGTAATGAGATTCTGGTTCATCTGATGAACTCGATACATGTATTTACAGCACTGAAATTGCTGGTTGTTAGGCTAGTGCTGTAAATTATTTTCTAGCATTTCTCTTTTGTAATTTCTTTAGTTCTGTTACTGTGTGTAAGCCTCATCCATATGGATAGTGGCTAACTTTTTAGAGGTTGGGTTTAGGTGATACCCAAACCTCAGTGCTTGTCAAATATTTGATTTCCTGGTTTTAATTTTTATATCTCAGTTGTTTAATGTTTTTTTTTATGTTTAAAATTATCTGCATTTTGGCCAAATGTCAGAGGTTTGGTTAGGATTTAGTTGTTGAGAAACAACTAATTCTGGATTCTGCATTAGACACATGGACTTAGATGAGAAATCATCTAAGGGATCTCAATTCAGAAATGAATGAGTCCTCATGTAATATTGGACCTGAGTCTCAAGAGTCCTAATCCCACTTGGCATAGAGATATGGAAGTGGGCAAATTTGGGATAAAATAATTTTTAAGAGATTAAAAATTAACAATACAGTTCTGTTAACTGAGAATCTTAGGATGAGCTTTTTGTTAATCAAATTATTTTTCAAGCACTGTGGGGAAGGAGAGCCAAAACTCAACCCACCTTTTTAAACCTCTTTATCAATTCAGATTTTCCAATTTCCTTTGTTATTTCATATTTCAATCTCTATTCTGTTTTCAAAATTTTTGTCACATCTTTCATTTAAGTTGCTTCATTCTTCATTCGTATTTTATAACTTAGGAAAGTAATTTAGAAAATTTTAAAAGAAAAGTGAACAGTAGTGTTTTAGGTCCATTTTAGAATATTTTTTTTTACTTTACAATTTTATTTCTTCTATTTTCAAATAGTAACTCAGTTTTAAGCAATTACAAATTTTAGTCATTTCAAAACGCCAACGATCCTTGTGGGAACGATAACTGGGACTTATAACAGCCCTATATTACTTGTTGTCGCGTATACTTGCGCGCATTACTTGCACAACTGTTAGCAAGGCAACAAGTTTTTGGCGCCGTTGCCGGGGATCGAGGCGTATATGATCAGATTTCTGTGTGATTGCTATTTTTGAACTGCTTCTTTTTGCTGTTTTTTAGTGTAGCTCATGTGAATTCTGTTTCAGTTTTGTTTTAGTTATTATTACTATAGTGTCTTGAATATTGGTAGTTTAAAATCTGTTCCGTTCATATTCTGTTTATTTTATGTCATTTAATTTTTTTTTAGTTTTAATTTTATTTTAATTATTAGTTCCACCCTGTGTGAGGGTGAGTTGTTACTGCCTTATAAAGCCGTCAGGCTGTGAACTGTCTTGGGACTTTTCTGCTTGCAGGTTCTTGTGTGTTTATTTTATTTTATTTTTGCTTGTTCTGCATAAAAGTTGGTTAGTAATCTAGGTGTTTTAGCTAAGTCAGGTTTACCTGTTTTAGTTAAAAAGGGGTGCATGAGTGCAACTCCACACCCGTTCATATATTCAATTGACCCTGAACCTGAGAGGACATTTAGAGTTAGGAGAAGAGCCCAGAAAGCACATAGGCAAATTCCACTTCTAGAAATTGAAGAAATGGAGGATTTAGGAAGTGTAAATGGGAATGATGGGGTAGGAGGACCTGCAAGGATAAGGGAACCACCTGTTATAAATGATAATGATAGGTCCATGATGGACTTCATCATACCTGTGTTGGATGAGTTAGATCCAAGCATAGCCCAACCTGTGAATGGAGTGCCCTTCAAATTAGAACCGGTGATGTTCACCATGCTTCAAAACATGGGGCAGTTTCATGGGTTGTTGATGGAAGACCCACACAAGCACCTTAGAAATTTCATAGAAGTGGCCAACACTTTTAGGAATCCTAACATCTCGGATGATGTGTTAAGATTGAAGCTCTTCCCTCATTCACTGGCTGACAAAGCCAAAGAATGGTTGAACTCCCTTCCATCCAACTCTATAACCAATTGGCACACCCTTGCTGAGAAATTCATTATGAAATTTTCCCCCTCTAATAAGATAGTGCAAACTAGAGGTGATATTGCTAACTTCATGCAGAGGGATGGAGAGACACTAGTGGATGTGTGGGAGAGGTACAAGAACCTTCTTAAGCAATGCCCAAATCATGGTTTGCCTTCTTGGGCAGTGTTACAAACCCTGTACAATGGCCTAAATACTCAAAACAGGGCCTTGGCAGATTCTGCTGCTAATGGCATGTTTATGACTATGTCCTTTAACCAAGCCCATGAGTTGTTAGAACAAATGACTCAAAATTATGCCCAATGGCCTGAAGAGAGAAATCAGCCAAGGAGAGTGGCTGGTTTACATGAGATAGACCCTGTAACAGCTCTTTCAGCCAAGTTTGATGCACTGTCCAATTTAGTGAGAACCCAAGGACAAACCATTGAGGCAAGATTATCCCAATCCCAAGTTCCTGCACCTCAAATACCTGTGACCCAACCTCAAGTTAATGCAATAAACACAAGTGTAACTTGTGTTTGCTGTGGTGGGCCCCATTTGTATGATAGCTGCCCATCCAACCCAGAATCTGTGTTTTATGTGGGAAACCAAAATAGAAACCAAAATACTCTCCCCCAAAATATTTTTCCCAATAACTTTAACCAGGGATGGAGGCAGAACCAACAACCTCAATATTTTCAAGGGCAGGGGCAGCAAGCTGGTCCTTCTAATGCCCAAACAAAAATACCTTTTCCTACCCAGAATTACCAACAAACTTCAAGGCAGCAAGCTGTTGTTCAACCTAGTGAGATGCCTATTGCTCCATCCTCTTCTTTAGAAGCTTTGTTAAGGGAATATTTGGTTAAGAATGAGACCAAGCAAAACAGCTTGGCTTTGGTTAGACCTTCCACATTAAAAAAAAAGAAGGGGAGAACATGCAGAAAGAAAAGGATGCAAATTCTGAACCTGTTCAGAATTCTGTTGTTCATAATAGCCCCCAAGGGGTTGTGCACAATAACTCTTCACCCATTTTGGTCGAATCAGACACTCAGCCCTCTATAGATGAGCCTTTAGGGAATAATTCCATTGAAAAACCTACTCAAAAGGGTTTGACCCCTAAGCCAAATAGTGAGACACCTGCTACTTCAAAAAGACCTCCACCACCCTTTCCTCAAAGGTTGCAAAAGCAGAAGCAAGATAATCAGTTTAGGAAATTTCTAGACCTCCTAAAACAGTTGCATGTCAACATTCCATTTGTTGATGCATTGGAACAAATGCCCTCTTATGTAAAGTTCATGAAAGAAATTCTTTCAAGAAAAAGGAGGCTAGAAGAGTTTGAGACTGTTGCTCTTACACAAGAGAGCAGTCAATATCTTCTTAGTAAGATACCTCCTAAACTAGGAGACCCAGGAAGTTTTACAATCCCTTGTACCATAGGAGACCACTACATAGGCAGAGCATTGTGTGATTTAGGTGCTAGTATCAACTTAATGCCTTTGAGTGTGTACAAAAAGCTGAAAGTAGGAGAGCCTAATCCCACCACTGTCACATTACAGTTGGCTGATAGGTCTCTAGTTTATCCGGAAGGGAAAGTAGAGAATGTTTTGGTGAAAGTAGATAAATTCATTCTACCTGTTGATTTTATAATTTTAGACTATGAGGAAGACAGAGAGGTTCCAATTATTTTGGGAAGGGCTTTCTTAGCCACTGGTGGGGCTGTCATAGATGTTAAGGAGGGTGAGTTGGTCATGAATGTGAATGGGGAACAAGTAAAATTTAATATTTTAAAAGCCATGAAATACCCAAGAAGTGGCTGAATTCTAAAACTGATGTCGTTTGGAAAAATAAAAATTTTGAGTCATTAGAATTGGCCAAGAGAGGGTTAAAAATTCCCAAATCTTCAATTGAAGAGCCCCCTGTGTTAGAACTCAAACCTCTGCCTAATCATCTTAGGTATGCTTACCTAGGAGAAAAAGATACCTTGCCTGTCATAGTGTCCAATCTGCTCACTGTGCTAGAGGAAGAACAGTTGCTGACTGTTTTAAAAAAATTTAAAAGGGCTATAGGTTGGTCTTTAGCAGACATAAAAGGTATTAGCCCTTCTTATTGCACACATAAAATTCTGTTGACTGACCCAACCAGTAGCTCTAGGGAGCAGCAAAGGAGATTGAACCCTAATCACTAGGTTAGCCCAAAGAAGATTCAAGTGGTTGGATTGGCGGGCACACATAGCATCCCGTTTCTCAAGTATCTGGAGGAAGCTAGATACCATGTTGAGCACACCATCTAACCGAAGGCAACAATAACA